GCTGATGTTAGCATTTAGCTTAAGGCACCGCTGTACCTAAAGTACAGCCTCACAGAGCTGCTAGCATGTCTGTAGACTCTTATTCGTCTTTTTTGTATTCAAACAAAAGGATGTGAATAAATTATTGATCTGATGTTCAATCTGCTACAGATGTTGTATAATACGATTTGGACAAAGGCAGGGATGGATTACACAGTTTGTCTATGAGGCTATAACTTTGTGGTAATTTAATTAATTGCAAATGACAGCTAATGTTTTGTTCCAGGGCGTCCATGCGGGTTAATCCAGCTGCGGCCAGTACCAAAAGTTTTGAAAACAACACATAGTTCTTGCACTTCTTAAAAATACACACCCTCAGTTTTCTTAATTCACCACTTCAATGTCAGTTTTTTGTATGAATTGTAGTTCTTGTTCTTTTTAAGGCATATGCACCTACATTTTTTTAAAATTCAGTCATTTAAAAATCATATTAGTGATCATACTGATGATGGACACAAATAGTACATTATATATGAATATGTCTATGGAATGAGTCATACAAATACATTTTGTAGTCTTGTTAATATGGGGAGCAGTTGCCAAATTTTTCCAACACTTCAAAACAGTCAAACCTATTTCCCATACAGCTCGGGCCTTCCTCGGGGCTACTGTAACTCCAGTGACAAGTGAAAGGGGAACTGGTGGTCTCCAAACAGCTCTGACCACATCGTAAAAATCTCTGCCATAAAGAGCAACTGGCCACTCTTTCTGACCCTGCAAAAATAGAGGGAAGGGTTCAGAAAGTGGGTGGTCCCCTTTATGAATGATCAAAAGAAGAGAAAAGTAAAAAAAGAAAGAAAAAAATGAAAAAAGGAGGAGGATTCACTTGGACGAGCAGCCTGCTCCTCATCAGCAGCAGCAGCGGGGCTCTTCTTGTCCTTCCCGAACCCACAATCAGGTCAGTCTTCACTGCTCTCAGTTGACTGATCCAGCAGCCTGGGAATGTTACGCTCAAAATGTGAACATCAGTCATCTGTGAATGTACTTTGGGCACTTTTTAATGTAGATGAACTCTGTAGTTATAGACCGAGGGCTGAAATGTACAACTCTGTGCTTATTACAAAAGCTGCTGACCCTTAGGTATCGCCCTGCCATTTGCAGGCTGACCATTTGAGCTTGCCAAATTTGACACAGCTGACGCAGGCAATAAATTTGAACTAGTTTCCCCACCCCCTTTATCCATAATGAGTGCTGCCCTGCAAAGCCATTGAACACACACACGCACACACACACACACACACATTCATGCACACATACCAGCAATCCTAATGTGATAATCACAGGATAAAGTTGTGTTAGCTACATGATGAAAGACATAAGCAATCTACAAAATTGTCAATCTGTAGAAGTGTGAAAATGTGTAATGATGTCTAAAAACGTAACATTGCAGGTCAGATTGGTGTGTGTGAATAACTTAAGAGGATATGTGAGAGCTAATGGGTGACAGACAACATTGTCAGGGTGACCAGACTGTGCAAATCCCTTGAGTCCCTGAGCGCTGGGATGTCCGACAGGTGATACCCGAGTTGCTGATCCGTGATTAACACTCGCCAGTTGCAGACAGGCTCTGACTGCTTCATCTACAGGCCAAGAAGCTGGGAACATGTCAGACTTCAAAACTAATAAAGTGACTCACACAACTGCCCTTCTCAGAGCCACGGACACTGAGGGAGAGGGAGGGTTGTGTGTGTGGGGGGGTTACGAGGGGCTGTAATGAAAATAGCCGGACGTCCAGCTACGCC